TACCGAATTACCACGCGTCCCAACTACCACGCGTAGAATCACCACGCGCCCCAACTACCACGCGTCCCAACTGCCACGCACCGAATTACCACGCGTCCCAAATACCACGCGTCCCAACTACCACGCGTAGAATCACCACGCGTCCCAACTACCGCGCGTCTCAACTACCACGCGTTCGAACTACCACGCGTCCCAACTACCATTCTTCCCAACTACCACTCGTCCCAACTACCAGCTGTCCCAACTACCACCTAACGTCCTACAAAACATTGCCTCATCTCCCAACATCAACCTTTCCAATAAAAATAAAATAATTTCTAGGATATCGAGGTTTGAATACAGGTGTCCAAAGGTACGTCACGAGGAGACGTTTAATCGATCGTGTCCGTAGAATCGAACGCGTGCCGCGTGAACAGCCGCGTTTAAAGGGGGCCGGTTAATTAATCCTGGCTCGGCCATTAGAATACGCTCCAGTTACACGTTGCGCTGAATCAGCGCCACCGTAAAATAATAGGATTCCAGTTTGTCGCAGTTGGCGACGCGTAAATATAGGGATCCCCGTGCACGACGGTCAACGACCAATTAGGTTGAGCTAGTGCCGTGGCATTTGCATCTTGTGTAAGCGTCTCTCGCTCGTAAACCTGTGTTCCTCATCCCCTGCACGTTTCATGCTCTGCCGGGAGAAACTGGATAGCGATTTCACCAACACTGTCCGACGGGAATACCTTTGCACTCCTTTGTATTTCTCCGGGAACGGTCTACTCATTTTCTGCTTGCAACTCTGACGTTGCATGGGTACTCCCAATAAGGGATGTGATTTAAAGTGACAATTTGTTTCATTGATTGTTCGCAATGATCAGCTGGTGGATTATCTTCAAATATTTGACTGCTTTGTGTGGGGTGATTAATTAGAAGGGATGTGTTTCAAAGAACGATTGCCATTTTTTTGAAATTTATTTTTATGTAATAAATTCTCAAATACATTTAGAGAGAATTCTAAAAAAATTTTGCAATGACTGTTACATGAAATATACCAACCCCGAATTTCATAACCGACAGCCACCCTGTTTCTATTATACTTCTGTCTTACACATCGTCCACCGGATATTCTTCTCTATTTCACTCTACCCCCGCGGAAATTGCACCCTTTTTTTTATCTATCCTACGTGTGTGGCTCCGGTGAGCATCGGTAACGGAGGAAAAAAAAAACGTCCGGAAAATACTACCACCCTGCGGGCCTACCATTTTTCTGCTCGCTCGAGCTGCACCGTACGTGTGGGCGCATTGTTGACAAAAAAGCACTGACGTATCCGCCAGTGTTAAGGGATGGGGTGGAAAAAAATTCGTCGAAAATCGCGGGCTGCACCACGTGATCCACGTTTTTTCCGTCTTTTTCAGAGGCCAGCGAACGGACTTCGAAAAAAATTTTCAGGAACGCTGATGAGGCGAGGGTTGGACTTCTCCATGGCATTTTTGTTGCGGACATGACGGGATATTAAGGATCGAATGGACGGCGGAGAGCTGATTGCGAAGATGGTGAAGGATTATGTGGGGATGGAGAGAATTTTAGGGATGAAGAGTGTAATATTGTAGGAGGTTTTGTGGAATGATGAGGTATTGATGGGAGGATGGTTTTTAAGTTGCAACGCAGTCGTTGAGAACTAACGCGATGATTTATCACGCGGGAGGTTGAAGTGGAGGAAATTATCACGCGTCGAATTACCACGGGTTGGAATTATAAGAGATTGAATTACCACGGGTTGAACTACGAAGTCTAGGATTACCAGTCGTCGAATTACTGCACGTGGGAATCACAAGGTATCGAATAACCACGAGTGAGATTATGAAGTGTCGAATTACTACGCGTGAGAATCAAACGGGATCGAATTACTACGAGTGAGATTACAACGCATTGAATTACCACGCGTAGAATTACCACGCCTCGAATTACCACGTATAGAATTACCACGCGTAGAATTACCACGCGTCCCAACTACCACGCGTAGAATTACCACGCGTTCCAACTACCACGCGCCCCAATTACCACGTGTTCCAACTACCACGCGTGGAATCACCACGCGTTCCAACTACCACGCGTAGAATTACCACGCGTTCCAATTACCACGCGTCCCAATTACCACGCGCTGAGTCACCACGCGTAGAATTACCACGCGCTGAATCACCACGCGTGGAATTACCACGCGTCCCAACTACCACGCGTAGAATTACCACGCGTTCCAACTACCCCGCGTGGAATTACCACGCGTCCCAACTACCCCGCGTGGAATTACCACGCGTCCCAACTACCCCGCGTGGAATTACCACGCGTCCCAACTACCCCGCGTGGAATTACCACGCGTCCCAACTACCCCGCGTGGAATTACCACGCGTCCCAACTACCCCGCGTGGAATTACCACGGAATTACTACGCGTCCCAACTACCACGCGTGGAATTACTACGCGTCCCGACTACCACGCGTGGAATTACTACGCGTCCCGACTACCACGCGTGGAATTACTACGCGTCCCAACTACCACGCGTGGAATTACTACGCGTCCCAACTACCACGCGTGGAATTACTACGCGTCCCAACTACCACGCGTGGAATTACTACGCGTCCCAACTACCACGCGTGGAATTACTACGCGTCCCAACTACCACGCGTGGAATTACTACGCGTCCCAACTACCACGCGTGGAATTACTACGCGTCCCAACTACCACGCGTGGAATTACTACGCGTCCCAACTACCACGCGTGGAATTACTACGCGTCCCAACTACCACGCGTGGAATTACTACGCGTCCCAACTACCACGCGTGGAATTACTACGCGTCCCAACTACCACGCGTGGAATTACTACGCGTCCCAACTACCACGCGTGGAATTACTACGCGTCCCAACTACCACGCGTGGAATTACTACGCGTCCCAACTACCACGCGTGGAATTACTACGCGTCCCAACTACCACGCGTGGAATTACTACGCGTCCCAACTACCACGCGTGGAATTACTACGCGTCCCAACTACCACGCGTGGAATTACTACGCGTCCCAACTACCACGCGTGGAATTACTACGCGTCCCAACTACCACGCGTGGAATTACTACGCGTCCCGACTACCACGCGTGGAATTACCACGCGTCCCAACTACCACGCATGGAATTACTACGCGTCCCAACTACCACTCGTGGAATTACCACGCCTCCTAACTACCACGCGCTGAATCACCACGCGTAGAATTACCACGCGTCCCATCTTCCACGTGCCAAATTACCACGCGTCGAATCACCACAACTGCAATCCCCCCCGCCCCAAAACCAATCAAACCACCACGTCGAAGCACAATTCAACGAATAACCACGTCCACAAAGCATCAAGCTAAACTGATTCGTGTGACTTCCCACGCAAACCTCAAAGCACACCGCGTCAGCCACCGCTAATCACAGCGTCCCAAATCCCAAGGTACAAATCGCTACGAATGTCCGCTCATGACGTGTTAGGATAGGAAATTTTTTGATGAATCTTCGAAATGAACATCGCGGCACACGTGCATGGCCACTAAATGGAATAATAGGGCAGGGGAGCGCGTATCGAGAAGCGGCGCGAGCCTCGAAACGCCTCGACATATGCATCTGCACTCCTCCTTCTTTTTCCATCCCTCTTCCCCCTCCTCTTCTCTGCGTCACCGTAGCAGGAGATTAGTATGCAACCCGGTGTATTAATAGACGGGGAACAATGCTCACGGCCTCAGAGGCTGCTGAGAGAGCCTCGCAGCCTCTGGTCTCTCCCCCGGTCTCTCCCTGGTATTCCCCTCTTCCTAGCGATATCAGACTGCTTCCTCGCGGTTTATGTCGATCTTTGCAACTACATCGAACATTTTTGTGGACCGTTCTGGCGTTGGGAGAACATTTTCGATGAGAGAAATTAAGACTTATGAAATGCTCGATATAATACCAAGTTCTTTCATTTTTTATTTTTTTATCTTTTAAATTCTGTAGAAGTTTTAAGCTTGGAATAGTTGTTGGGAATTGTTTATGTACAGTAGAGTTTTGAAACTGCGCTCAGAATGCGCGGCGAGTATGAATGAACTTTAGGAGATTAGCCAAGTAAACTTGAAAGTGCAAGTGCTTTGTAAACGTCCGGAGAAATGCAGGAGAGTGTCAAGAAAAGATTCCTGAATCGTCCTGAACTAATCCTATCTGGTATTTCGTTCAGAAAAACATCCTCCATATTTAAACGTTTCGATTCACGGACACGATCTTTTTAATTTAACACGAAAAGATAATTTGTCCAAAGATAGGATGCTTTCAAAAGGTTTTCTACGTATCGACTTGCCGCATTACCTTTCGAAAGCATCCGTACGGTCTTCAGCCTAGCCTCTAAACGTATATCTCGATATCCTAGAAGTTCTTTAATTCCGTTCATGCAACGACGCTCTGATGAAGAAAGGGAACGTATCGTACCTTTTGAAAGCATCCAGAGCTCCTTGGAGCTGAAGACACCTGTCGCTAGGATCGTGTCATTGCAGACAACACCGTTATATAGTTCGTGGTAGCCTGTACCTGGGAACAAACCCAGTCGACGAACATTTAATCTATTCTTTTAAATTGTTCGTCGAATTTTGTTCATTTTTCTTTGCATACCTAACTAATGTACTAAACGAAAATTACCTTTTCGCCGCCTTTCTTCCTCTTTGCTTGCGTTACAGATGCCATTTAGGACCTCTGTAACAGAAAAAAAAAATAGTGACTTTAGTTCTGGGAATTTGTGCTTCGAGCGTATGCTGGGAATCACGATATGGGGATTTACCACGAATTAGAGGAACAGACGTTAGATTTCAAGGCGTTGAACTAACGCGCGGAGAATCGTAAGGCGGTGTATTAACATGTGTTGGAGTAGACGTTGAACTAACACGAGTGGAATCACAACTAATTGAATTTATCCCGCGTTGAGGTAAGGCGGTGGAATTCCAGGACGGGGAATTATTAAGCGTGAGGTTATGATGTGGTGAATTACTAGGCGGTGGAATCGCAACGCGTTGAATTACCATGCGCTGGAATTACCACGCGCTGGAATTACCACGCGTCGAATTACCATGCATCCAACTACCACGCGTCGAATTACCACGCGTTGAAATTACCACGCGCTGGAATCGCAACGCATCGAATTACCACGCATCCAACTACCACGCGTCGAATTACCACGCGTTGGAACTACCACGCGTCGAATTACCACGCGCTAGAATTACCACGCGCTGGAATTATCACGCGCTGGAATTACCACGCGCTGGAATTGCAACGCATCGAATCACCACGCATCGAATTACCACGCACTCGAATTACCACGCGCTGGAATTACCACGCGCTGGAATTACAACGCGTCGAATTACCACGCGCTGGAATTGCAACGCATCGAATTACCACGCGTTGGAATCGCAGCGCATCGAATTACCACGCGCTGGAATCGCAACGCATCGAATTACCACGCACCGAATTACCACGCGTCGAATTATCACGCGTCGAATTACCACGCGCCGAATTACCATGCGTAGAATTACTACGCGTTGGAATTACCACGCGTCGAATTACCACGCGCCGAGTTACCACGCGCTGAATTACCACGCGTTGGAATCGCAACGCATCGAATTACCACGCGTTGGAATCGCAGCGCATCGAATTACCACGCGTTGAATCACCACGCGCTGGAATTACAACGCACCGAATTACCACGCGCTGGAATCGCAACGCATCGAATTACCACGCGTCGAATTACAACTTATCGAACTACCACGCGTCGAATTACAGTCTATCGAGTTACCACGCGTCGAATTACAACTTATCGAACTACCACGCATCGAATTACAGTCTATCGAGTTACCACGCGAATCTCTACTCGTTGAACGTATCTACCACGTGTCAACAACGCGTCCTACTACCACGCGTACGACAGCGCATATAATTACCAAGTCTTACAATACACCTACCACTTAAATCTACCATCCAACAAATACATAAAATGACTCTACTATACGCTGTTTGTATTTCATCGTAATAGAAGGGATTTAGAAGCAGTGATTCTGGGACATTGTTGACACAAAATTGGAGAAACGATATTCTCGATGCATCTCGTTTCACCTTCGCTGTCGCACGGTGTTTTATATCGCGGAACCTTACGCAAATCTCATTACGCAACATATCACCGAAATACACGAGAGCCCGGAACGTGTGTTCGACTTATTCTCTCTTTCTCTCATTCCCCCGAAAAAAGAGACGGACGAGAAGAGATCCGAGGGACACGTACACGATGGATGTCTCGGACGCGAATGGAAATTCGGAAAATTATGTTTCGCAACGGCGTACGATACTCGAATCGTAGGAACAACGAGGTGCTAGCTAGTCTCGTCGTGAAAAACGAACGACCGATTTATAAATAGACGTTAACAAACATACGTTCACTCCTGGGTTATTTTTAATTGCGACAGCGGTGCTTATGTCGTTGTTGACTGGCGTCGTAGGCGACGATAAGCGATCCCCTTCGATGCAATCGCGAAATTTCGATCATGTTCTGCGTTCATTCTCTTTTACGCTTCTCAGATTTATGCATTGGTTATAATTTTATTTGTCAGCTATGGCAATTCATAGTCTATGACAATTCTCTTTTTAATTCTTTATGACAGTATAATTGTTTGTGACAACTGTTTATGATAATTCTGCTCTGTTAGGAGAGCAGAATTTTATAATTCTATGTTGTTATATTTCAGTTGTTGTTTTATTTTTTGAAAATGTCATTTGAGACAGGAGTACATGTTGAAGGTTGATGTATGACTATTTGATTTGTTTCAAATGAAATTTTGCAGATGTGCAATAATTAAGAATAACAAGCTATTTTATCGGTGTTCGCGTTTACGGGGCTAGACCGTTTTCTCGAGAAATCGATTGCGACACCGCGAAGGATCTTCTTAGAGTCGCAGCAAAATTAGTCGACAGGTGCGTGGCGACGCAGAAATTCAAGATACTTGTTCGCTCTTGGAACAATAATAGAGCAAATTTGTCGACACCATGTGAACATGGACGTATTTTGCCATCGCACCACCTCAAGGACGTCATCATTTTTCATAATTATTCTAGTTAGGCTACCGCAAACTCGATACCTCACTTCTCCAAATTTTTCTCTACCATGCACTTAATTTAAGACGGTAGAAGTAGTTTGAAACCTTAATCTAGCTTCATTGTATCTATGATATCTCAAAGATTTCTATCAAGTTTTATTTATTCAACTATGGTTTATAGTTAGGTCTGAAGGTGTTACTCTTTAAATAAAGCACCTTCTTGATCATAACTTCTGAACACTACTCCGTCCAACAAAACAAAACCAACAAAAATTGTTAAACAATCTGTTCAAATTTTGCATTCATCATTTTGAAGTAAATGTGAAATGATTTACAGTAAAAAGACGAGAACTGCAAAGATGGAAGACAGTTTTTTGATGGACCCATTTAGAGAGGAGGGAAGACAGGATTAATCGCAGGTACGAGAATATTCATTTCAGGTATTCGGCTGCACGAATGAAAATCAAACATAAGCGAGCACACGGTGTTCGGGAGAGAAAGAGAGAGACAACTTGGTACAAGATGTCCGTCGGCTATTTATTTATAGAGCGAGCACACATCGGCACGCATGGTCACATGCTCGCGAGCACGACACATTCAAGCTGTATGTACATAAACGCATTTCCCTTGAACGTACGCGAAAAATCAACCATCCAGGACTGAATAAAAAGAATTAGTTATAAGTCAAAGTTAAAGATTCTTAGTTAGAGGAAATTATATGAAAAAAATGTTAGTTATAGGAAGATTGGTATTTGTATGTTGTATGTTGAGTGGCTTTTTGTTTGGTTTCATCGGTTCGGTTTGACAAAATTATATTACTAGAATTTTCTGGTGAAACGTTAAGTTTTATACAATTGCTGCAATTAATATAATTAATACGTTAAATTATTATAGTTCAGTCTTGCAGTTTTTGAACGTAGTTTGACAGTGGTTCTCAAGGTACAAACTCTTTGAACTTCACAATTTTTCCTTTTTATAACTTATTGATTTACCAGATAAAAAATGAGAAATTTTAAGAAGAAGACAATTTTATTAACCTAGTATGTACCAAGTATGTAATTGTATTAACTTCGTTAGTACCAAGAGTCCTACAGTTTGAAAGAAAGATGCATGTGGTTTTGGATCACATGTCGGACTAACTTGTAACAATGCAATGCGTGGTAATCTAACGCGTAGTTATCTAACTTGTAACAATGCAACGCGTAATAATCTAACGCGTGGTAATTTAACGCGTGGTTATCTAACGCGTGGTAATCTAACGCATGGTAGTTGAGACGCGTGGTAATTCTACGCGTGATAGTTGAGACGCGTGGTAATTCTACGCGTGATAGTTGGGACGCGTGGTAATTCCATGCGTGGTGGTTGGGACGCGTGGTAATTCCACGCGTGGTAGTTGGGACGCATGGTAATTCTACGCGTGGTGATTCAGCGCGTGGTAATTCGACGCGTCGCAATTCCAGTGCGTGGTAATTCCAGCGCGCGGTAATTCGACGCGTGGTAATTCGAGCGCTTGGTAATTCGATGCGTCGCAATTCCAGCGCGTGGTAATTCGATGCGTCGCAATTCCAGCGCGTGGTAATTCGATGCGTCGCAATTCCAGCGCGTGGTAATTCGATGCGTCGCAATTCCAGCGCGTGGTAATTCGATGCGTCGCAATTCCAGCGCGTGGTAATTCGATGCGTCGCAATTCCAGCGCGTGGTAATTCGATGCGTCGCAATTCCAGCGCGTGGTAATTCGATGCGTCGCAATTCCAGCGCGTGGTAATTCGATGCGTCGCAATTCCAGCGCGTGGTAATTCGATGCGTCGCAATTCCAGCGCGTGGTAATTCGATGCGTCGCAATTCCAGCGCGTGGTAATTCGATGCGTCGCAATTCCAGCGCGTGGTAATTCGATGCGTCGCAATTCCAGCGCGTGGTAATTCGATGCGTCGCAATTCCAGCGCGTGGTAATTCGATGCGTCGCAATTCCAGCGCGTGGTAATTCGATGCGTCGCAATTCCAGCGCGTGGTAATTCGATGCGTCGCAATTCCAGCGCGTGGTAATTCGATGCGTCGCAATTCCAGCGCGTGGTAATTCGATGCGTCGCAATTCCAGCGCGTGGTAATTCGATGCGTCGCAATTCCAGCGCGTGGTAATTCGATGCGTCGCAATTCCAGCGCGTGGTAATTCGATGCGTCGCAATTCCAGCGCGTGGTAATTCGATGCGTCGCAATTCCAGCGCGTGGTAATTCGATGCGTCGCAATTCCAGCGCGTGGTAATTCGATGCGTCGCAATTCCAGCGCGTGGTAATTCGATGCGTCGCAATTCCAGCGCGTGGTAATTCGATGCGTCGCAATTCCAGCGCGTGGTAATTCCAGCGCGCGTGGTAATCTAACGCGTGGTAATCTAACTTGTAACAATGCAACGCGTAATAATTTAACGCGTGGTAATTTAACGCGTGGTAATCTAACGCGTAGTAATTTAACGCGTGGTAATCTAACGCGTAGTTATCTAACATGTAACAATGCAACGCATAATAATCTAACGCATAGTTAGAAGTCATAGGTGAGAAGTCATAGGTTAGGTTTTCCTCGGAGTTTAAAATGGAGTCAGGCCATCGCGAAAATGCGAGAA